TAGCGCTGCCGCTCTTACTACATGATTTTATTAATAATTTTGGCATAATTGCTAAAAGATAAGAGAGTGCCAGGTTATCTTCTTTGTGGCCAGCGATTCATCTTGAGCGTAGCTGGAGTAATTATTATTGTAAATTGAACGATTTTTGTAGTATGATAAAATCTTTGGTGGATCAGATGCGAAAAAGATTCGTTATTTTTGTGCATTATGAAATTTTTTCTGTAATAAGTGTGGTGTTTGGAGACACTCCTACGGCACTAACTGATTTTTTTCTCCTAAATTTTTGAAAAATGCATAAAAATTATTTCAGCATCGGAGGAACTTTCACTTGATGGTATGCGCTTCACCACTTTTGATCTTGGTGGACACGCACAGGGTATGTGTTTCTGTCATGGGCAGTCATTTTGATATCGATTTTCACCTTCATTAATGAGTTCACCAGATTTGCTTTTCTGGAATATTTTGAGACCTACAGCTCTGGCGCTTTTTGGGAGTGAACGAGAGATTAATCGTGCTGCTTTTCACTGTGGCAGATGAATTTGTTTAGGGCGGAGGGGAGGGGGAGTGAGGGTTAAAAGTTCGTGTTTTGGTATAAAAAATTTAAACCCCCAGTTTTTCAGCTCGGCGTGTTTGGAAGGATTATCTTCCAGCTGTAGATGCAATTGTATTTTTAGTGGACTGCGCAGACCTTGGACGAATTGATGAAAGTAGACACGAGGTAGGATCCTTCCAGTTGATTGGCCTTTTTTGTGTATTTTTACTGGATAGAAACAGAAACACATTATTTTTTTTTTAATAGAAACATTATTTTCGCAAGCAGTAAATTGGGAAATTGCGCCATGATTTACCGCCTTCGCGCGTGCAAAAGAACGCATTTTTGAACCTTATTGTGGTCGGGAGAAGGAGGAAGAGGGAGAATTTTATGTCGATTTTTTGGAATTTTTCATGTGTTTCTTTTTATGCGTACATTGTATTTCCATAAAGGGGCAAAAACTGGGATGTTGAGAATGCCGAAGTTTATTTCTTGATTATATTTAGCGGTTGAAAACCTTAAGTCCAATTCCTCTATTCTGCGATTTCGAAGTTTTGTGACTGCAAATTGAATCTGAGTTGTTGCAGTTGTGACTTTCTTCTTTCCTATGCTTAAAAAGCGCGGAAAATCAAAATTAAGTTTTCTCTATGGGCCAAAAAATTTGATACAAATTCGAGTTGATCACATAATTCGGGAATGGAGGGATTAATGCTTGAAGCTTTAAAATCATAATGTGCCCACCTTCAGTATGTGTGATTTTATGACCAAATCCGATACACTTTTATAAGTCCAGAGCCAGGAAAACCGTTTTGCGACCACATAATCAGTTCATAAAGATAGACTCTATATAGGTTCTTGTTTTTTTTTTGATTCGTTTCGCTGTTTCAGCTCGAAAGTCTGCTGAACGACGAACAAGTGGCATCTTGTCCGATACTGATCCTTGGAAATAAAATTGACCGGCCGAATGCGTTAGGCGAAGAGCAGCTGAAATGGCATTTGGGTGTATCAAATTCCACAACTGGAAAAGTAAGTTTTGTTTTTTGTGGTTCGTTTTCTTAATGGAACTGACAAGAGATTCTGACTGAAAACAGCAAATGTTCTTTTCGACCTGAGTGGATCGATAATTTTAATGGTTTGGGTTGCTAATAAGTACCATCTGATTGTGAGTCGATCAAGCAAACTGATATCCCTATATAAACAAGCCAACGAGTCTGTGATAGTAGCCGCATTTTCAATTCAGGAACCACAAAAGCTAGGAAGCTGAAATTTTAAGGGAATGTTCCCCGCTTACGTGCGACCCTGTAGATTTAAATTCAGTTCCCACGCACGCCTGGGTACCACATACGGCTTCGTGAAAGTTTTGGCAGGGAAAATTATCTCGGGAGAAGCAAAAGTTAGGAAATTGAAACTTTAGAGGGATGTTCTTCCCCGCGTACGAGCCTGTAAATTTAAATCCAGCCTTCGTTTATGCCTGAATCACATACGGCCCCGTGAAAATTTTGACGGAAAAAGTTATTTCGCAAATCACAAAAAGCTGAAATTTTAGGAGAGTATCCCACGCCTACATGCTGTCCCGCAAGTTCAAATTCAGCTTCCACGTACGCTTAGGTCTCAAGAACGGTTGCATGAAATCTGGCGGGGAAAATTATTATCTCGAGAACCAAAAAAGCTAGGAAGCTGAGATTCCACGATGATGTTTTCTGCCTATGCACGATTCTCGCGAATTCAAATTTTGTTCCCATATATATGCCTAAGCCTCACGTACGGGCACGTGAAAGTTTTGACGCGAAAGTCACTAACTCGGGCGCCAGAAAATTAGGGGGCTGAAGTTCTGGGAGATGTCCCTCGTCCATGTGCGATTCAAGTTAAATTCAGCTTTCGCGCACGGTTATTCACGTAACACTGAAATTTTTAGTAGGAAATTTCGCAGCTTAGGAACCAGACGACATATTAACGGTTTTTGCACACACCAAAGAGTAAAACAATGAAAATTCTTAACAGTGAACGCTCACTAGACGAAACCGTGCAAAACTTTTGCTCGTACTGGATACCCTCATGCGTGCCGTTGTTGATTTAAAAATTATCCAGAGTATTAGAAGAGCATTAATTTGCTTGAATAATTCGTAACGATCAGGACTGCGAAAAATTGTTCAGCTGTTGTCCCGAAGAATACAACGGCGTAAACATACTGTTTACGAAAAAGTTGAGTTTTACTAAGAAATTTTTTAAATTACTCCGACTAATCGATAGGCTGTTTCTTGAATGTTTTATCGGTTCTTCTTGATTTAGAAACAAATACCGCGCAGGGATTTATCTTCAAGACCGCTGGAAGTTTACATGTGTTCGGTCCTAAGGCGACAAGGATACGGCGAAGGGTTCAGATGGCTATCACAATACTTGGACTAGCTTCTACAAAGAAGAATGTCGTTCAAAAAGTGTCCCCGATCGAATAAGGCCGTATCCTGGATCAGCCGTTCTGTATTCCCATTTATCTTGCTGTGATGAAGTTCAAAACTATTGGTTCTTTCTCGTGAACATTTTGCTTCTGGAACATGTCTGTCGTACTAGCTGTAATAAGAATTCGCTGACGAACCCCTGGAATAGTAGGAAAGCTACTAGAAACCTGGGCACTTGGTGTTTTGCGGATTTATCTTGATTTGCTGCTTTTAAAAGCTATGCTGAGAGATTTTTCATGTTTGCCGCGACCGGTGCTAGCTCCCCACTCAGCGCTAAATCTGCTGCCAGAGACCATAACATCCCTTTTGCGGCTTTCTGGCTTTGGTTTCCGCATGGCGACTTTTCGGAATTTTGAAATACTGCAGAACTACAACCTTAAAATGG